AACCCCGTTTTTCCCCCCAAAATCCCCGTTTTCCCCCCCAAACTCCATTTTCCCCAATCCCCCCCCTTTTCCCCCCCAAATCCCCCATTTTTCCCAAAATCCCTGTTTTTCCCCCAATTTCCCCATTTTCCCAAAATCCCCGTTTTTCCTCCAAAACCCCGTTTTTCCCCAAACCCCCCATTTTCCCAAAATCCCCCATTTTCCCCCAAATCCCCGTTTTTCCCAAAATTCCCCTTTTTCCCCCCAAAATTCCCCTTTTTCCCCCCAAAATCCCGGTTTTTCCCAAATTCCCCCATTTTCCCAAAATCCCCGTTTTTCCCAAAATCCCCGTTTTTCCCCCCAAACCCCATTTTCCCAAAATCCCCCTTTTTCCCAAAATCCCGGTTTTTCCCAAAATCCCGGTTTTTCCCCCCACTCCCCCGTTTTTCCCAAAATCCCGTTTTTTCCCCCCAAACCCCACCTGTCGTCATTGGGCCCCACCAGGGGCGAGCGGCCGGCCAGGCCGGGCAGGTCGATGTGGTCGCGGATGACCAGCAGGTGACCGGCGGTCAGCTCCGGCCGGAGCGAGCCCGCGGCGTTGGTCAGCACCAGCGTGTGGACACCCAGCAGGGCCAGCGTCCGCACGGGGATGACCACCTGCAACGGTCAGTGAGTGACCGCTGAGTGACCACTGAGTGACCACTGAGTGACCAGGGAGTGACCAGGGAGCGGTCAGTGAATGGCTGGCTTGTGGTCACTCAGGGGTCACTCAGGGTCACTCAGGGGTCAGTGGTCACTCAGTGGTCACTCAGGGGTCAGTCATTGGTCAGCACCACCGTGTGGACACCAAGCAGGGCCAGCGTCCGCACGGGGATGACCACCTGCAACGGTCACTCAGTGGTCACTCAGGGTCAGCCAGGGTCACTCAGGGGTCACTCAGGGTCACAAACACCCAAAACCAGCCCAAAAACACCCAAAATACCAAAAACACCCGAAACCAGCCCAAATCACCCCCAAACCAGCCCAAAAACACCCGAAACCAGCCCAAATCACCCCCAAACCAGCCCAAAAACACCCGAAACCAGCCCAAAAACACCCGAAATATCAAAAACACCCAAAACCAGCCCAAAAACACCCAAAATACCAAAAACACCCGAAACCAGCCCAAATCACCCCCAAACCAGCCCAAAAACACCCGAAACCAGCCCAAATCACCCCCAAACCAGCCCAAAAACACCCGAAACCAGCCCAAAAACACCCGAAATATCAAAAACACCCAAAACCAGCCCAAAAACACCCAAAATACCAAAAACACCCGAAACCAGCCCAAATCACCCCCAAACCAGCCCAAAAACACCCGAAACCAGCCCAAATCACCCCCAAACCAGCCCAAAAACACCCGAAACCAGCCCAAAAACACCCGAAATATCAAAAACACCCAAAACCAGCCCAAAAACACCCAAAATACCAAAAACACCCGAAACCAGCCCAAATCACCCCCAAACCAGCCCAAAAACACCCGAAACCAGCCCAAATCACCCCCAAACCAGCCCAAAAACACCCGAAACCAGCCCAAAAACACCCGAAATATCAAAAACACCCAAAACCAGCCCAAAAACACCCAAAATACCAAAAACACCCGAAACCAGCCCAAATCACCCCCAAACCAGCCCAAAAACACCCGAAACCAGCCCAAATCACCCCCAAACCAGCCCAAAAACACCCGAAACCAGCCCAAAAACACCCGAAATATCAAAAACACCCAAAACCAGCCCAAAAACACCCAAAATACCAAAAACACCCGAAACCAGCCCAAATCACCCCCAAACCAGCCCAAAAACACCCGAAACCAGCCCAAATCACCCCCAAACCAGCCCAAAAACACCCGAAACCAGCCCAAAAACACCCGAAATATCAAAAACACCCAAAACCAGCCCAAAAACACCCAAAATACCAAAAACACCCGAAACCAGCCCAAATCACCCCCAAACCAGCCCAAAAACACCCGAAACCAGCCCAAATCACCCCCAAACCAGCCCAAAAACACCCGAAACCAGCCCAAAAACACCCAAAACCAGCCCAAAAACACCCAAAATACCAAAAACACCTGAAACCAGCCCAAAAACACCCGAAATAGCTAAAATCACCCCAAAACCAGCCCAAAAACACCCGAAACCAGCCCAAAAACACCCAAAACCAGCCCAAAATCACCCCAAAACCAGCCCAAAAACACCTGAAATACCCAAAACACCCAAAACCAGCCCAAAACCA